GGCATATAATTTCACATTACTGTTTATCTAATTCTTTTCATTACATGACGGTTGCGAGCTAATATTTATTCCTAAACAATTTCAGTTCTTAACGCATTTTAATTTCGGTCAGCCCGCGCCGCCTGATCAGCCGATGGAGTCACACTCACTACTATACGGCATTTCTTGGTTCCTTGAGCCATGAATCGGAGGACATCAATGATTAAAAGTCGCCATTTGCATTGAATGGACAGTACTTTGATCACAGATTAGTACTGAATCGAAAATATTCTCGCTTGGCGTACACTTTACGTTGCGATATTCGATAAGGGTATTGATATCATTAAAGGCACACTTTACAGCTCAAGGATCATGGCAGAACTTTTAGGCCTTAAGCATTAAATGAGCCATGAAATGGTAGGGTTTGTTTCTGCCGTCGTCGAATTCTTATCGAATTTATTTCGATTCGTCGGACGTCAACAGTTGAAGGTTTTTGTTCGAGGTTCAAATGGAAAACATGAAAACTTGCGCGGTTTATCAAGGTCAAGGACAGAGTACCCAGATCAATAATGTCTGACGCTTTGGCTTTTCACACTGATTTATAACGATGTTGGTCGCTGCAGCAAGGGTAATGTTCCTCGTCGCAAGCGAGTCCTCCTATGGCAGCTGGTTTATGGTGCGATGTTGGCCTCCTATGCGTCTGAAGGCATCATTGCTTCACAGAGGAAGCGCCTGAAATGTGAAGAAATATTGAAGTATTGAAATCCAGCTTTCATGAATCATCGAACTGGGAAACTACTTTCAACCGGACAAACTACAAACTTTCCGCCGTTTCGAACTGCGTCTTCTCGTCCTCGTGATTCAGCATTCAGCGATCCTTTTTTAGCGTTCCAACGATGCCGAGTTCTGTTAGAATATGAATCTCTTCAACAATCGAAACCGTTAATCTGACAGCATCTTGATGCGCCAGCATTTGCCACAACCGTAGTATAATTGACGTCGTCAGTGTCACTGTCGTTAGATTGGCACATTTCGCCCATAAATGATGACCATGTGTTATATATAAAGGGTTTTGTCCCAAGGATGACAGTCATCTGTCATGTGACATCAGAGTAGCCCGTTCCGAGCAAAAGTCTGATTTCATATTTCAGTCGAAACCTGTTGAAACAGAATAACGGCGTACACAATTGCACCGAGATGAACATTGAGGTACCTGCCGCTTTCGCGGAAAACTGAAGCAAGCAGAAAGATGACGCAGTTTTTGAAACTGCTTCACCGTTTTCATTGAAGTCCGCACATTTCAGATGAAATCATCGGCTACTGTGCAACAGTGTTCTACCAGTCGTTCATCGGTTTGGTTTTTACTGCGAATAGCGATGGTGAATGCGAGGACATCGATTTATCCATCTTCAGACCGTTTCGTAAAAACTTTTGGTCCTCTTACTTACTTTCTCGTACTCCAGCCGGTCCTGCTGCTCCACAACGTTTGTAAGCAGTCAGATTCATTTCATTTCCATCAAACGCTGTTCGTCAACGATTCTTATTTTGCTGGCGCTGCCACTGTGGTGCTGAGTTCAACATGAGGCAGAGTCGAGTCGGCTGCTCGGTACCAGAATGTTATCTGTAACCGCAAACAGCGAGTGCTTAACGCCATAAATCTCCTACAGATATCACGACCATCGAATTTTATCCAGTAGCAAAAGGTTTTGGTGAATGTCATAGACAAATTGCATTGAACGGTCTTTCATGCTCTCAATTCAGAGGGTCATATTATCCGTAATTCTAATTGTATAGTCTTTTGTCTGCCTTTGATGAAAAGTACTGTCACTTAGAAAGTAGTTTGAATTCTAAGCTTACTAATATTCGTTAAACTCTATGAGACTGATAGTAAAGAGTAATAATCGAGTAACTGCCAGGGGCTTAGGCGCCCTTGGTTATCCCTGACTAGACAACAAGTATTCTTGTGAGCGGTATAAGAAAAGTCTCGAAGTAAACAACTTCGCGTTAGACTCAGCACGCTGTCACAACAATAGAACTTTTAAAGGCTAAGAGTTAGACTGAAAAAGGGGGGTGGCCAGTATCGTTCATTTTCAGAGCTGCGCCGCTAGTGTTTAGCAAGGAATTTAAATGTATCGACAAGAAGAGTCAAATCACATATGAATTTTGTATCCCCGGATATTGCTGCTACGTGAGGGCGTGGATGTGATGTGGGAACACGCTTCAGCAGGTTGAGATGATGGTGCTGCCCGCCACTCGCCAACGATATCGTTCCGCGATGAAAACCTCACTTTCCGTGCTCCACTTCCCTGAATCCGTTGGGCTATATGAAGCTTGTTGAGATGTTGGTGATAGTTCACGGGTTAACACTGAAAGAACTGCCAAAAGAGTACTCTCCAAAAGGCGTTCAAGGATAAATGGAAACCTGGAAAATAAGTGCAGCATACCGCATCAGTCCAAAAGACAACTATGAGTCAATAAACCACAGGATTCGATTGGTAAACTAACCCGAAACAACATCAATATCTTCGTCGCCAGCTATAATGCCCGAAAGCTATCAAAAAACGCATTTAGCTACCTCTACAACACGGAAACGGGAGTAATCAAGGCAAACGTCATCGGAATATCCGACGCCGGGAGAATTATCGAACTTGTTGCACAATGGAACTACGGTGACCAAGTATTCCTCGTGAAGTCTATCGAGAACCGAACTCAGACCGCCCGCATTGGGTTCATAATACGAAAGATGGTCCTGCCATTTCTACAGAGTTATAATATTATGTCACCTCATGTAGCAATTCTACTACTACAAGTGAACGAGAAAAGAATAGTAAAAATATCAAGGCTTCCAGCCTAACCCAATTGGCTGAAGATAATGATACGGAGCAATTCTACGAGAAATTGGAAGGCGCAATGGGAAGAATGACAAGTACAAATTTGTCCAAGGAGGCGCTATTGCAGTGGTCAGCAAAAAAATGAACGACGCAGAGGTATTTTTGGCAAATACGGAAAAGGCGAAAGTAAGGAATGTGGAGATCCCTTAGGCTTTCGTTGAAAACAATCACCTTCACGTCATGATCGCCGTTTTCCAGAAAGCGACAGCCCGGACGGGAAGTTTTGGAATCAAACTGAGTTTTGTACTGATTGACAAAAAACGAGTAATATAAGGATCAGACCACAGGCATTAGCGTTCCACAACAACGGTCAATCTCGCAAAAGTGGAACTGATCAAAACAACTCAAAGATCACTGGTTCGTTGCTTTGTGGAGAACTACGATTCGATCCGGAAGTTTCTCAGAGAATTTGCCCTTAATGAAAGGAAGGAAAAAAGGAAAGTTGGCAACCATTGTCTTCCATACACTCACATGATTGAGCAAATTATAGTATCCTTGTTTTCATTAAGTTAATGGTGTACGCGCTGATCTCTATTTCCATGTCATCAGCTATAAGAGTAACAAATGTTTAAAAGCAGAATCTACAGCAGTTATTGACAGGCGTAGACTGTAGTATCTTACTCACATTCATTAAATTATCTTCTCCACTCATTCAGGCCATTAATAAAGCTTTAGATGAACGTAAACGAGGGCATAGATGCGAATTATGTCAATTTTGCCAACCCGTCAACAATGCCGTTACAACATCAAGCTGTGCAGCAAAGTCAACGAAACACAACCCTTCAGCCTCCAATAAGTTAGCTAATGGCAAAATGAGCACAATGATAGGCTGAAGGGAAAACTGACAGCATGCACATTGCATTGTCAAAGCGATATGGAAGAAACAAAGGGGATAATATGAAAATTACAGCAAAAAAATTTGATTGAAAGAGACTACGGAACGGAATAAATAGCTACTAGTGATGGAAGGGGATATTCACCTACAATAACGAATTCCTAAAGCGCTGAAAGACAAAGGATGAGCAAGAACTACTAATCGTAATCAGACGAGCGCGATTGGCACAAAGTTCTACAATAACTTCTACAATAACCTGCACTCTTTCCAAATAGGCGTGAATCGTAGATTGCCACGTGTTGCCCCAGAATCCGTTCCCGAACTCACCTGGGACGAAGTTACATGGGCAATCAGAAACATCAGAAATTTGGAACACGAAATAAGACCAAAACGCAATATAAGGCTGGAGGAACAATACTGTGTAAAGCGCTTAAACAAGTGTTAAACGTGTTACGGAATACATCAAGCAAAATAAGGTGCCTAAAGTGTGGGGGACTGCGAAAACGAGTTTTCTTATGAAGAAAGGCGACTCCAAAGACCTCAAAAGCTCTCGACCAGTTATAGTCCTGTCGCTTTTTGCTGTCGGCCTTTTGCTTTACTCATGTGAGAAGAAATTGATTGATTTGCAGGGATTACCGCGCCAATGCGTTACTCTTGTCAGCATTCAATAAGATATCCTGCCGTGATAACGTGAGTGGCTTCAAAACTACAGCGATTAGCAGACATGATCTGAGGTTCTGCGAGGGAAAATCGACTGTGAAGATAGCTTCACCTCTGCTGCAGCAGCAAATGTGGATATGCAACGAATAAAGTTAGCGCATAATAACTTTATCCAAACTTTCGGTTTCATCGCCACTGAGTCTAACCAAACAATGGCAAGGCATGCCTCTGATTTCGCTCACCTCAACATAATGCCTGAAGCAACTGTAAAGAACTTTTGGAGACGGACGATGAAATAGCAACTAAACGTAATATTTATGCTCGACCACGTTGATGATCTGCATATAGGACTAGCAGATTACAATGGAAGTTGGCCGATAATCTGTAGCTAAAATTGGAGTTACTGGCTGCAGGCCAAATCATGAAGGAATATCGTGTTCTATGGAGAAAATGTTAGTGATACGGTTGAGTTATGGACTTAACCTCGACTTTTGGCATCTTTTGTACTCTTTCGACGCTATCCTCTTCGTTAAACAGAAAGTTGAATGTACGTGAAAATCAGGATATATACAAAGATTGTGTATTTCGTTTGTGCACTGGTGGCCATACTGAAAATGGCATAATACTCGATGCATTTACGATTTAACATAACGGAAAAAAAGTTTGGTCAATCTGATAATTGACGCTTCGGCTCGTGTAGTGGGTTCTGTTCAAGATAAAAATGTCGTGTCCTTTTGAATCCATCTGTGCCACCACTGAGAACGACGGAAAGAACTTCCGTAGTCAGTCAACTAGCCCCGTTTACCTTGAAGAAGTTCTGTGAGACTTAAACCGAAAGGTCGGTATTGGTCATTCAACTATCGAAATTGTTTGCTTGTGCATGAATAAACCACACGATGCAGTTTTCGGTCAAGATAAGGATAGAATCTTACACCGGTTCTTCCTCTCAACTACCGTTGCTTCGATGGACTCACGTGATTTGAAAACGACCAGTTTACAAGGCAGTTGCAACTACTGTTTCGTCGAAAGAACGAAATAACATGGTGCCATCATGCAGGTTTATCATTAAAAAACACGCCTGCTATCAGTGACTAATGAGATTTACAAATGGACCGAAATAAATGCCACTGTCGTCACTGAAATGACATCGAGTAGTGCACCATGCCCATACTCAATGAACATGGAAACGCGTTCATTGGTTGCATGCCGCAGCTTATCAG